GGGGGGGTTTTGTTTTTTTTTGGCTGGGTTTTGGGGGGGTTTTTCAGGGGGGGGGGGGGGGGGGGGGGGGGGGGCGCAGAGTGGAGATCCTACCCGGGACAGACAGCAGCCGCATCGTTATCAACCCGACCAACTAACAACCATCGGCAGGCACGGAGAGCATTTCCCCTACAGTGGCGGCTACGGCTTAAGAGAGACAATTTAAGAGAAAGTACCGATTTTTTTAGAGTCAAGCTGGCTTGTCACGGCTATGAGAAATTCACAGAGAAAACCGGATTTAAGAGAGAAAATACTGGCTTTTCAAAACCCTCTCTGAAGCCGTAGCCGCCACCGTACAGCACAAGAGAGGCCTTCCCCACCTGCATCCCGACCAGCTCGTAGCGCCTGATGTTCACGTCTCGGATCTCGTCGTTCACGATGGACGCCAGGTCGAGGGAGGTGATCTCCTTCTTCTTGTCGGCAAGGTCCTTGAAGCGGAGGAACGCGCGGTTCAGCTCGTCGTCCGTCAGCGAGTAGCCCGTCTCCTGAACGCAGGGGGCAGAGCGAGTGGACAGGTAGGGGCCGACCAGGGAGCAACATTGAGAGGAGGAGGGTCAGGACAAATTTCGGTTACATGATCTCCCAACATCGAGGGTGCACGCAGATATATATTTTCCAAGCCTAGGTACAGAGGGCCTGGAGGGGGGTGGGCTCTCTCAAGCGAAGTGAAAACTGAACATCCAAAAAACAATATTTTCCCAACAATCAACTTTCTTAACCTTGCTCGAAAGTACTACTGGTACGCCACTAGTTTGGCTTTCATTTCCGACCTCTCTTAAGAAGTACCTGTCCTTTTCACTTTTCTTCGCGCATGCATCATTGGCTATGCAAAAAAAAAAAATCTCATAATGTTCTAAGTTGTCGTTCGTCAGTTTGGTTTGCGAGCGGTTCAATCGCCACAAACGGTTTGGTCTGAAAGAGATGCAACCCACCCGTTGTTGAGCTGACGTGCAAAACGACAAAAAGAAGTTAAGGGGAAAAGACGCATCCACATGGACAAGGGTACGTGAAATGTTTGCATGGACTTGGGGGGTTGAGTGCGTTGGCTGGTTGGCGGGCTGTTGGCATGGGAGTGTCGTCGGCAGGGAGACCTGTTCCTAGTGCACATGGAATGGCAGGCAATAGTTTGGCGAGGAGCCCGGTATACGAGGAACAGGTCTCCTTACAGACGTCCATCCTCCGTACGAACAGCCCGCCGACCAGCCAACGCACCCGTCGACAACTCCACCAAAAACATTGCACGTACCCTCCTGTGTCTTTCTTTTTTTATCGTTACAGTATGCACGTCAGCTCAGTAGTGGACGTTTTGCATCGTTATCTTTTACAACCAAAGCTGTTCTCGGCACTTAACCGCTCGACAAACAATCAAACAACGATAACCTAAAAAAAACGAGGCCAACCAAGACAAGTAAATTCCCTAGGACAAGGTTCGACCCGGCCGGGAACGGTCCCGACAACGGTCCCGACAACACACCTGAAGGCGGGAGCGGAAGGCGTGCCTGCCAGAGTGCTTCCCGAGCACGAGAGACGTGTCCTGGTGGAGGCCGACCAGTTCAGCGTCCATGATCTCGTACGTTTCCTTGTTCTTCAACACACCATCCTGGTTGGCGTTGCAGTCAGCAAGAGGTATGCATACGGCGAGCTAGTTCAGGGTCTACAAGCCTACAATCCGAAAGAACGGAAGGGGGGGGGGGGGGGGGGGAAAGGGAAAACGTTTAAAAAAGCCCCGTTTTTTTTTAAAAGTTTAAACCCCTAAAAAACGGCGGGGGGGGGGGGGGGGGGGTTATGGTTTTTTTTAAAAAAAACCCCGGGCCCCCCCCGGAATCCGTGTTTAGGGGGGGCCCCCCATAAAAATACTAAAAAAACCCCCCCAAAAAAAATTTTTTTTCAAACAAAAACCGGGAAACCCCAAACCCCCTCCCCCCCTAAACCCAAAAAAAAAAAAAAAAAAAAAAAAAAAGGGGTCCCCCCCTCCCCCCGGGGGGTGGGGAAAACAAAAACGGGGGTC